CTGATCTGGTGGATAGTAGTGCCACCTACTCAGGTGCCTCTCACCTTCCATGTTATGCAACAACCACGAATATGCCTTACCGCTTCAACATCTGCTCCATCCGCCAACCCCTTCTTACCTCCCAAAACAACATCACAAAACACAGTAAAGACTACCTAACAGTAATCACATAGACACATCCAAACAGCATCTCAAACCGCCATGCTCATCTCTACTACTCACTAGGACACAATGAGCATGCCAAAGCTTACGGGAAAACGGGCTTGCAGGTTTGGTAGAACAGGAGGTGAACACCCACATTGTAAGAAGTGGATGAGCATCAGCAGCAGGGCGTACGTCGAAAGCCTTCCTCGGTCGGCACCATGAATGTCCATGTTTTGTGCCCAGTGTTTTACGAACATACCCAGTGGGGTCAACCGAGAGTCCACTGTTGAGGGAAAAAATACAACCTCCAATGTCACTGCGGTGATTTTCTTCTTTCTACACCCATACAATACATTAAAGCGCCGTAATAGCAAGTGAACAGTCAAGCAGGGAAACAAAAGCAAACTCATTGCCCTCATATTCACATCATATGATAACCTACTCCCAGCTGCACATACCATACGCAAAAAAGGAATGGTCCATAGGCATTTGTAACGATGAACAGAGCAAACATAAACACAGCGACATCTTTCGCAAAGCATAAACAAAGACATCACTCACGTTGTGGAGAGAGACCATTACATTGACATCTAGATGGTGTAAGCAATGCACACTCTACATTAGGTTCGAAAACATCCCTTCCAAAAAGACACACATGCAAACTAACATGACCACATTAACGCAATTAAGCAAGACAAATGCACAAAACCAGTCTCACCTCGAGCGTACATGGCAAGAAGATGGGTGTTGTAAAGTCCCTCCACATTATTGACATTCAAATCGCACTTAATACCCGACTCATCGTCGCAAAATCTGAGAATCGGCACGTTTGCGGGAATTAGCATGCATATACCAATGAAACCTAAAATCACACAGAACAACACGAAGGAAGCATTGCATTCACTGTCAATACATTTTAAACTAGTGGTACAAAACAACGTCTGTACAGCATCTGATATCAGCCTCTTTGTGCTTGTCAGCCTCATCTCATATACCTCAACACGTCCTCCACTGCAATAATGCGCCTCGCAGTGACGCGCATCAATGCTACGATCTAAGCCGTCACTTTTCCACACCCTATGACTCCCTCCGCACTCCATCCACGTAGCAAACATTATAATTCGGAAATGATTTCCATAAGCGATATGCTTCAATCGCCACAGA